GGTCCCCAGACAGCCCAAGATGGCCCACAAGATGGGTCAACATGGCGAAGAAGCCTCGAAGGGGCTGCGAAGCCTCCCCAGGATACCCCTGGGAGGCCGAGATCATTTGACTTCTCGCTTGCTTTCGCTACTACTGAGCTCCTGAAGCGTCAACATAGCCCCAAAAAGACCGAAGGGTGCCCCATGACGCGCCCAGAAGGGCTCCAAGACGGCCCCGAAAGCCCCCAACGGCGCCTAAAGACGGCACCCAGAGCCGATGTTTCGGCCTCTGGCTGATGTTTCGTCGGTGCTCTCCCGGATCGGCCCACAAAGGCCCCGAAGGCCTCCAGGAAGGCCCCGGAAGATCCCCCGAAGGCCATCGCGTCGGACCTGTGGGAAGCGCTGCAGCTCACCTGACAAGACACGGAAAAAGGATGCACTACTGATAGGGCGGCTGCCATCCCTCGTTTGGAAGGTCAGGGTGGGAAACATGGGCGTCGAATCGACACTACATCGCCGATGGATCGGCGATAGGCCCCCGATGACAAATGCGCACGGTCCTGGGCCGGGTGGGCTATCAGGCCCCCTATCGCCGATCATGGGGCCATTGGGGGCCGGTGCATCCCCCCCCTGAGCCTATCCCCCCGGACGCTGCCCCCTTCAATGCCTGCTCGCGGGCGCCTCGTGGGCGCCCCGTTCGCTGGGTGGGCTTCACGACGTTTCGCCTCGTGGGCGCCCGTGCCCGCTCGCGGGCGCGTGGGGCCACGTGCGCTGGGTGGGTTTCCCGAGGTTTCGCGCCCGTGCCCGCTCGTGGGCGCTCCGTGGGCGCCCCGTGCGCTGAACACCACGAAGCTTTCACAACATCGCTCACACAGTTGACCAACAGCACATAGCTTCACAACTTTAGCTGTGGCTGATTACCCACACAGCGTAACCACGCGTAGCCTCCACCACTAGCTTACACCACACACAACAACACGACATTACACAGCAGATGATCACCTCCCTCATTGCAATCTCACTCATTCGGGCCCACGCCGACTAACATGACTTGGCTTCGTTTCTGTTGGAACAGCTCGCTGGCCGTGCGGCCGCCAGAGGAAGCATGCCCGCTCCGGTGCACGTGCGAGGGAGCCCCATGGCATGCAGGGCCGCGGCGAGTGTAGCTTTGCCAACCCGCCCGGCGTGGGACGCACCTTCTGCTGGAGGGAGACGGTATGGAGCCATGAAAAAACATCCGGTATCCATAGGGGTCACGGCCCATGGGCCCGGCCCGCGAGGCCGTGGATACGGATGTTCTGTTTTCTGCCCACGAGTGATGTGAGGAGGGAGGGAGGCAGGGAGGAGCGAGGAGAGGCGCGGGAGCCGCCCGCGGGCGGGTGTAGCTTTGCCAACCCGCCTGGCGGGCTCCAGACCAAAAAAAGGGGACACCTGCGCCCGGGCCCCGATCGGCGGAGGCGCGCTGGAGGGGCTTCTCACTCCGGCTCCTCGCCCTTGCAGCCCTTGTGGAAGTTCTCGCAGCAGTAGCCGATCTTCCGGGGAGACCACGACAGCTCGAGACAATGCATGCAGTGGTGGTAGCCCGCGTCGCAGTCGTACACGCTGTTGTCCGGCTCCGGGGGTGCGTTGGAAGGCGGCGCCCCGGAGGGTGGGGGCAGCTCCGACGGGCAGCCCTTGTTCGCGGTCTTGCAGCAGAACAACTTCTTCTCGCCGGACCAGCCGCGGACCCACTGCAGCGGGTCGAGGTCGTTGTAACCTGCGTTGCAATCAATCGGGCATGGGGACGTGGTCACCACTGGCACTACCGGCACCACCGGTGCCGGCATGGTGCTGGGAGCGGCCGGGGTCGTCGGGCAGCCCTTGCCCTCGTGCAGGCAGCAATATACCTTCTTGGGCACGTCCCAGGACACGACGTCGCCCTCGCCGCAGTTGATCTTTTTCTCCGTGGTCGTGGGCGGCGGGGGAGGGGGCGGCGGCGGGGGCGGGGGCGGCGGCGGCGGGGGCGGCGGGGGCGGAGGCGGGGCCGTCGTGGTCGTCTTGGTGGTGGTGGTCTTCTTCGTGGTCGTGGTGTCGGGCGGCGGAGTGGTCGTGATGATCACGGGTGTGGTAGTAGTCGTGGTCGTCGTCGAGCCCGGCGACATCGCGAAGAGCAGGAGGGGCAGCAGGAGGAGCGACAGTCCCAGGGGCACGAGGCAGATCAGGCAGAAGTTCGGGCCGCGCCCAGGGATGCGGACCGCCCCGAACTCGCCCGCGCCCATGCCCACGTACTTGTACGTGGTCTCCTGGACGTAGTCGCCCCCTGGGCCCACGTAGCTCAGAATCGTGCCGCCGCCGCCGCCGCAGCCCGAGCCCTCGGCACAGGCCACGCCGCAGCCGGGGCCGCAGCCCATGCAGGCGGCGGTGCTTGCGCAGCACGCCGTGCCGCAGTCCGCGCCCCCCGCGCCGCGCGCGCCGCCCGCGCCGTACGCGCCGCCCGCGCCGTACAGGCCGCTGGCGCCATACCCGCGGCCCGCACCGTACGCGCCGCCGAGGCCGCCCGCGCCTCCGCTGAGGCCTCCGCCGTAGCTCCCATAGCGGAGCGACATGGCGCCGCGGGCGCTGGGGAGCTGCTGGCCGACGCAGGGAGGTGTGCCCCTGGAGGGAAGCCCTTGAGCCAAAATGGCTACGGACCGTAATGCCCACCAGCCCTCTGGGTGGAGGTTGTATCACGAATTGGTTGCCCTCTTCCGACACCCTCCTTCCCCTGTTCGGCCCTCCCCTGGGTCTGGACAGGGGGGGACGCCAGCGGTCAGAACGTCCAAGATGGCCCAAGAGAGCCTCCGAGAGCCCAAGATGGCTTCCAAGATGGTTCAAGATATCCCGAAATGGCTCAAGATGGCTTCCAAAATGCTCCAAGGGGCTCCAAAACCGCTTCAAGACGGGTCAATGTGGCCACGGAGCCCCCCAAGAAAACACCCAGGATGCCAAATCCTACCAACCCTTTAGGGCGTGAGTGGTTTAAGGAGTTTCCTCTTCGAACCCCTTTTCTTCCCCTTCGGGGATGGGTTTACCCCTCCCCCTACCTCCTCCGCCTGGGTCTGGAGGGGGGGGCGCGAGGTGTCAGAGCATCTTTTTGGGCCTCGGCGAGAAGAGCCAAAATCAGTGATGCTACAACATGTTGGCCTCCTGGGGGCGGGTGCCTAATGTGCTACAGCAGCCCCTCCTTTAATCGATCTCCTCCAAGATGACCCCGAGATGGCCCCCGAGGCTCTCAAGGGTGCCCCAAGACGTCCCCAAGAGGTGCCCAGGAAGTCCCAAGAGTACCCCAAGATGCCCCCAAGCGGCTCCCAAGAGACCCCTTAGAGGCCCTTGGAAGCCTCCAAGAGGCACTCAAGACGCCCCAAGAGGCCCCTGGGACCGCCAAGAGACCCCCAAGACGCCCAAAGAGGACTCCAAGAAGCTCTTGGAAGAAATCCGAAGAGATTCCGAGAGGCATCCAAGAGGCTGCTGGCCTTTCTGCTCGCCCTCTGTATCCTCTTCCTCCTCCTCCTCCTCCTCCTCCTCCTCCTCAGAGCCTCCTCCTCCTCCTCCTCCTCCTCCTCCTCCTCCTCCTCCTCCTCTTCATCCTCCTCCCCCTCCTCCTCCTCCTCCTCCTCCTCCTGTTTCTCCTCCTCTTCCTCCTCCTTCTCTTCCTCCTCCTTATCTTGCTCCTCCTCATGTTCCTCAACCCCCTCATCCGCCTACTCCTCCTCCGTCCTCCTCCCTCCTCCCCCTCCCACTCTACATACTCCTCCTCCATTCGTTTTTCTTATGCATAACTCCTCCCTGCCGCACCCCGAGGCCAGTCGGAAGGGCGGCCCTGACGTTTCGCCGATGACCTCCTTGCCACGCTTCGATCCTGAAGCTTATGAACTGGCAAGATGTTCACAGATGAAGGGTGGGTCGCTTCCAAAATGTGGTTCTCGCCTTAGCGCCGCGCACATGTGTCATAACAAATGCAAGAGCTTCACGGATGGAGGGCGGCTCCTTTTCAATATGTTGTCCTCGCCTTACCACCGCGCACATTCGTCTTCAAAGTGCGCATGCGTTTCACGCATGGAGGGCGGGTGGCTTTCAACATATGGTTCTCGCCTTAGCACCGCGCACATTCAAGAGTTTCACCAGGAGGGAAGCGGGTGGTTTTCAACATGTGACTCTCGCCCTAGCACCGCGCACATCCGTCTCAAAAGTTTGCGAGATTCTAACAGATGGACGCTGGGCCGTCTTTTCATAATGGATCTCGCCGTAACGCCGCGCACAGTCGTCTTGAAAAGTCGCAAGCGTTTCACGGATGGAAGGCGGATGGTTTCCAAAATGTGGCGCGCGCATATTGTTCTCAAAAGTGTGCAAGAGTTTATCGGATTGAGGGCGGCTCCTGTTCAAAATATGGCTCTCGCCTTAGCGCCGCGCACATTCGTCTCAAAAGTTCACAACCACGTAACGGATTATCATGGTTGACGTCCCGCAGAATGGTGTTCCGACATGGTTTTGTTTCTGCACGGTCGAGGACTCCAAGACGGTTGACTTCCAACGGGGCCCTTCCAGCAGTGTAAACAAATTCTTGTAAGGACATACGAAGAGGGGACTTGGAGGGAGGGTTCATTGCAACATCTGTGATGCGTCTTGGGTGTAAACTGGTCACCCTGGTCTTCCTCTTCTTCCTCCACCTGGTCCGTCTTGGGTTAACAGTGGTCCTCCTCCTTCTCCTTTTTCCTCCCTTTGGTCCTCGTCTTCTTCCTACCCCCTGTGTTCCCCGAAGGGTTCCCACAACGGCTGGGGGGGGACAAAGTCCGGTAGCGTGGCCGAGCTCTGGTCACAACGTTCGGTCACACAGGCGCTTCCAGAAAGCAGGGGGCGGTGGTGATTCGTCATAGGCGTCTGCGATATGTGCTCAACAGGCTGTTGGGGGCACGCGAAGCGTCAAGAGCTGTGCCCATGAGCTGGCTGACGTCTCAACAATACCTGCGCGACGATCCTTGATGCTCATCTCGTCTGGTCTGGTCTTGCCTGGTATCGTCTCGTCTCGACTTGTCTCGTCGCGTCTTGTCTCGTCGTCCTCGGCCGTATTGGGAGCGTCTTGGGCCGACTCGGACAGACGGGCACGCTGGTACCCTCGCCAGGCGATGACTGGAGGGGTTCGCCTGCGGTTACATTCTTTCCTGGGTCTGGAGCGGGGGTCTGATGTGTCAGGAGGTCCGCCTGAGCCCAAGATACCTCCAGGGTCCCCAGACAGCCCAAGATGGCCCACAAGATGGGTCAACATGGCGAAGAAGCCTCGAAGGGGCTGCGAAGCCTCCCCAGGATACCCCTGGGAGGCCGAGATCATTTGACTTCTCGCTTGCTTTCGCTACTACTGAGCTCCTGAAGCGTCAACATAGCCCCAAAAAGACCGAAGGGTGCCCCATGACGCGCCCAGAAGGGCTCCAAGACGGCCCCGAAAGCCCCCAACGGCGCCTAAAGACGGCACCCAGAGCCGATGTTTCGGCCTCTGGCTGATGTTTCGTCGGTGCTCTCCCGGATCGGCCCACAAAGGCCCCGAAGGCCTCCAGGAAGGCCCCGGAAGATCCCCCGAAGGCCATCGCGTCGGACCTGTGGGAAGCGCTGCAGCTCACCTGACAAGACACGGAAAAAGGATGCACTACTGATAGGGCGGCTGCCATCCCTCGTTTGGAAGGTCAGGGTGGGAAACATGGGCGTCGAATCGACACTACATCGCCGATGGATCGGCGATAGGCCCCCGATGACAAATGCGCACGGTCCTGGGCCGGGTGGGCTATCAGGCCCCCTATCGCCGATCATGGGGCCATTGGGGGCCGGTGCATCCCCCCCCTGAGCCTATCGCCCCGGACGCTGCCCCCTTCAATGCCTGCTCGCGGGCGCCTCGTGGGCGCCCCGTTCGCTGGGTGGGCTTCACGACGTTTCGCCTCGTGGGCGCCCGTGCCCGCTCGCGGGCGCGTGGGGCCACGTGCGCTGGGTGGGTTTCCCGAGGTTTCGCGCCCGTGCCCGCTCGTGGGCGCTCCGTGGGCGCCCCGTGCGCTGAACACCACGAAGCTTGCACAACATAGCTCACACCAGGTTGCCAACAGCACATAGCTTTCACAACTTAGCTGTGCTGATTACACCACACAGCGTACACGGCGTAGCCTCCACCACATAGCTGACACCACACACACACACACATTACACAGCAGATGATTCACCTCCCTCATTGCAATAACTCACTCTTCGGGGCCCACGCCGACTAACATGACTTGTCTTCGTTTCTGTTGGAACAGCTCGCTGGCCGTGCGGCCGCCCGAGGAAGCATGCCCGCTCCGGTGCACGTGCGAGGGAGCCCCACGGCATGCAGGCCGCGGCGAGTGTAGCTTTGCCAACCCGCCGGCGTGGGACGCACCTTCTGCTGGAGGGAGACGGTATATAGAGCCATGGAAAAACATCCGGTATCCATAGGGGTCAGGCCGGCGTGGGCCCGGCCCGCGAGGCCGTGGATACGGATGTTCTGTTTTCTGCCCACGAGTGATGTGAGGAGGGAGGGAGGCAGGGAGGCAGCGAGGAGAGGCGCGGGAGCCGCCCGCGGGCGGGTGTAGCTTTGCCAACCCGCCTGGCGGGCTCCAGACCAAAGAAAGGGGGACACCTGCGCCCGGGCCCCGATCGGCGGAGGCGCGCTGGAGGGGCTTCTCACTCCGGCTCCTCGCCCTTGCAGCCCTTGTGGAAGTTCTCGCAGCAGTAGCCGATCTTCTTGGGGGACCACGACAGCTCGAGACAATGCATGCAGTGGTGGTAGCCCGCGTCGCAGTCGTACACGCTGTTGTCCGGCTCCGGGGGTGCGTTGGAAGGCGGCGCCCCGGAGGGTGGGGGCAGCTCCGACGGGCAGCCCTTGTTCGCGGTCTTGCAGCAGAACAACTTCTTCTCGCCGGACCAGCCGCGGACCCACTGCAGCGGGTCGAGGTCGTTGTAACCTGCGTTGCAATCAATCGGGCATGGGGACGTGGTCACCACTGGCACTACCGGCACCACCGGTGCCGGCATGGTGCTGGGAGCGGCCGGGGTCGTCGGGCAGCCCTTGCCCTCGTGCAGGCAGCAATATACCTTCTTGGGCACGTCCCAGGACACGACGTCGCCCTCGCCGCAGTTGATCTTTTTCTCCGTGGTCGTGGGCGGCGGGGGAGGGGGCGGCGGCGGGGGCGGGGGCGGCGGCGGCGGGGGCGGCGGGGGCGGAGGCGGGGCCGTCGTGGTCTTCTTGGTGGTGGTGGTCTTCTTCGTGGTCGTGGTGTCGGGCGGCGGAGTGGTCGTGATGATCACGGGTGTGGTAGTAGTCGTGGTCGTCGTCGAGCCTGGCGACATCGCGAAGAGCAGGAGGGGCAGCAGGAGGAGCGACAGTCCCAGGGGCACGAGGCAGATCAGGCAGAAGTTCGGGCCGCGCCCAGGGATGCGGACCGCCCCGAACTCGCCCGCGCCCATGCCTACGTACTTGTACGTGGTCTCCTGGACGTAGTCGCCCCCTGGGCCCACGTAGCTCAGAATCGTGCCGCCGCCGCCGCAGCCCGAGCCCTCGGCACAGGCCACGCCGCAGCCGGGGCCGCAGCCCATGCAGGCGGTGGTGCTTGCGCAGCACGCCGTGCCGCAGTCCGCGCCCCCCGCGCCACGCGCGCCGCCCGCGCCGTACGCGCCGCCCGCGCCGTACAGGCCGCTGGCGCCATACCCGCGGCCCGCACCGCACGCGCCGCCGAGGCCGCCCGCGCCTCCGCTGAGGCCTCCGCCGTAGCTCCCATAGCGGAGCGACATGGCGCCGCGGGCGCTGGGGAGCTGCTGGCCGACGCAGGGAGGTGTGTCCCTGGAGGGAAGCCCTTGAGCCAAAATGGCTACGGACCGTAATGCCTACCAGCCCTCTGAGTGGAGGTTGTATCACGAATGTGTTTCCCTCTTCCGACACCCTCCTTCCCCTACTCGGCCCTCCCCTGGGTCTGGACAGGGGGGGCCGCCAGCGGTCAGAACGTCCAAGATGGCCCAAGAGAGCCTCAGAGATCCCAAGATGGCTTCCAAGATGGTTCAAGATATCCCGAAATGGCTCAAGATGGGTTCCAAAATGCTCCAAGGGGCTCCAAAACCGCTTCAAGACAGGTCAATGTGGCCACGGAGCCCCCCAAGAAGACACCCAGGATGCCAAATCCCACCTACCCTTTAGGGCGTGAGTGGTTTAAGGAGTTTCCTCTTCGAACCCCCTTCTTCCCCTTCAGGGATGGGTTTACCCCTCCCCCTACCTCCTCCGCCTGGGTCTGGAGGGGGGGGCGCGAGGTGTCAGAGCATCTTTTTGGGCCTCGGCGAGAAGAGCCAAAATCAGTAATGTTACCACATGTTGGCCTCCTGGGGGCGGGTGCCTAATGTACTACAGCCCCTCCTTTGATCGATCTCCTCCCAGATGACCCCAAGATGGCCCCCGAGGCTCTCAAGGGTGCCCCAAGACGTCCCCAAGAGGTGCCCAGGAAGTCCCAAAAGTCCCCCAAGATGCCCCCAAGCGGCTCCCAAGAGACCCCTTAGAGGCCCTTGGAAGCCTCCCAGAGGCACCCAAGACGCCCCGAGAGGCCCCTGGGACCGCCAAGAGACCCCCAAGACGCCCAAAGGGGACTCCAAGAAGCTCTTGGAAGAAATCCGAAGAGATTCCGAGAGGCATCCAAGAGGCTGCTGGCTTTTCTGCTCGCCCTCTGCATCCTCCTCCTCCTGCTCCTCCTCCTCCTCCTCCTTCTCCTCCTCCTCCTCCTCCTACCTCTCCTCCTCCTCCTGCTCCTCCTTTTCCTCCTCCTCCTTCTCCTCCTCCTCCTCCTCCTCTTCCTCCTCCTCATCTTCCTCCTCCTCATGCTCCTCAACCCCCTCAACCGCCTATTCCTCCTCCATCCTCCTCCCTCCTCCCCCTCCCATTCTCCATATTCCTCCTCCATTCGTTTTTCTTTACATAACGCCTCCCGAGGCCAGTCGGCCCTGGCGTTTCGCCGAAGACCTCCTTGCCACGCTTCGATCCTGAAGCTTACGAACTGGCAAGGGCTTCACAGATGGAGGGTGGGTCGCTTCCAAAATGTGGCTCTCGCCTTAGCGCCGCGCACATGTGGCATAACAAATGCAAGAGCTTCACGGATGGCGGGCGGCTCCTTTTCAAAATGTTGTCCTCGCCTTACCACCGCGCACATTCGTCTTCAAAGTGTGCATGCGTTTCACGCATGGAGGGCGGGTGGCTTTCAACATATGGTTCTCGGGTGGTTTTCCACCTGTAACTCTCGCCCTGGCACCGCGCACATTCGTCTCAAAAGTTTGCGAGATTCTAACAGATGGACGCTGGGCCGTCTTTTCATAATGGATCTCGCCGTAACGCCGCGCACAGTCGTTTTGAAAAGTCGCAAGCGTTTCACGGGTGGAAGGCGGATGGTTTCCAAAATGTGGCTCTCGCCGTAGCGCCGCGCATATTATTTTCAAAGGTGTGCAAGAGCTTATCGGACTGAGGGCGGCTCGTGTTCAAAATATGGCTCTCGCCTTCGCGCCGCACACATTCGTCTCAAAAGTTCACAACCACGTAACGGATTATCATGGTTGACGTCCCGCATAATGGTGTTCCGACATGGTTTTGTTTTTTGCACGGCCGAGGACTCCAAGACGGTTGACTTCCAACGGGGCACTTACAGCAGAGTAAACAAATTCTTGTAAGGACATACGAAGAGGGGACTTGGAGGGAGGGTTCATTGCAACATCTGTGATGCGTCTTGGGTGTAAACTGGTCACCCTGTTCCTCCTCTTCTTCCTCCACCTGGTCCGTCTTGGGTTTACAATGGTCCTCCTCCTTCTCCTTTTTCCTCCCTTTGGTCCTCGTCTTCTTCCTACCCCCAGTGTTCCCCGAAGGGTTCCCACAACGGGTGTGGGGGGGGGGGGACAAAGTCCGGTAGCGTGGCCGAGCTCTGGTCACAACGTTCGGTCACACAGGCGCTTCCAAAAAGCAGGGGGCGGCGGTGATTCGTCATAGGCGTCTTCGATATGTGCTCAACAGGCTGTTGGGGTCACGCGAAGCGTCAAGAGCTGTGCCCATGAGCTGGCTGACGTCTCAGCAATACCTGCGCGACGATCCTTGATGCTCATCTCGTCTGGTCTGGTCTTGCCTGGTATCGTCTCGTCTCGACTTGTCTCGTCGCGTCTTGTCTCGTCGTCCTCGGCCGTCTTGGGAGCGTCTTGGGCCGACTCGGACAGACGTGCACGCTGGTACCCTCGCCAGGCGATGACTGGAGGGGTTCGCCTGCGGTTACATTCTTTCCTGGGTCTGGAGAGGGGGTCTGATGTGTCAGGAGGTCCGCCTGAGCCCAAGATACCTCCAGGGTCCCCAGACAGCCCAAGATGGCCCACAAGATGGGTCAACATGGCGAAGGAGCCTCGAAGGGGCTGCGAAGCCTCCCCAGGATACCCCTGGGAGGCTGAGATCATTTGACTTCTCGCTTGCTTTCGCTACTACTGGGCTCCTGAAGCGTCAACACAACCCCAAAAAGACCGAAGGGTGCCCCATGACGCGCCCAGAAGGGCTCCAAGACGGCCCCGAAAGCCACCAACGGCGCCCAAAGACGGATCGGCCCACAAAGGCCCCGAAGGCCTCCAGGACGCTGGGTGGGTTTCCCGAGGTTTCGCGCCCGTGCCCGCTCGTGGGCGCTCCGTGGGCGCCCCGTGCGCTGAACACCACGAAGCTTGCACCACACAGCTTGCATTGCATTGCATTGCATAGCTCACACCAGGTTGCTAACAGCACATAGCTTTCACGACTGAGCTCTGCTGATTACACCACACAGCGTACACTGCGTAGCCTCCACCACATAGCTGACACCACACGCATATTACTTACACAGCAGATGATTCACCTCCCTCAGTGCAATAATTCACTCTTTGGGGCCCACGCTGACTAACATGACTTGTCTTCGTTTCTGTTGGAACAGCTCGCTGGCCGTGCGGCCGCCCGAGGAAGCATGCCCGCTCCGGTGCACGTGCGAGGGAGCCCCATGGCATGCAGGGCCGCGGCGAGTGTAGCTTTGCCAACCCGCCCGGCGTGGGACGCACCTTCTGCTGGAGGGAGACGGTGGAGCCATGAAAAAACATCCGGTTTCCATAGGGGTCACGGCCCGTGGGCCCGGCCCGCGAGGCCGTGGATACGGATGTTCTGTTTTCTGCCCACGAGTGATGTGAGGAGGGAGGGAGGCAGGAGGGAGCGAGGAGAGGCGCGGAAGCCGCCCGCGGGCGGGTGTAGCTTTGCCAACCCGCCTGGCGGGCTCCAAACCAAAAAAAGGGGACACCTGCACCCGGGCCCCGATCGGCGGAGGCGCGCTGGAGGGGCTTCTCACTCCGGCTCCTCGCCCTTGCAGCCCTTGTGGAAGTTCTCGCAGCAGTAGCCGATCTTCTTGGGAGACCACGACAGCTCGAGACAATGCATGCAGTGGTGGTAGCCCGCGTCGCAGTCGTACACGCTGTTGTCCGGTTCCGGGGGTGCGTTGGAAGGCGGCGCCCCGGAGGGTGGGGGCAGCTCCGACGGGCAGCCCTTGTTCGCGGTCTTGCAGCAGAACAATTTCTTCTCGCCGGACCAGCCGCGGACCCACTGCAGCGGGTCGAGGTCGTTGTAACCTGCGTTGCAATCAATCGGGCATGGGGACGTGGTTACCACTGGCACTACCGGCACGACCGGTGCCGGCATGGTGCTGGGAGCGGCCGGGGTCGTCGGGCAGCCCTTGCCCTCGTGCAGGCAGCAATATACCTTCTTGGGCACGTCCCAGGACACGACGTCGCCCTCGCCGCAGTTGATCTTTTTCTCCGTGGTCGTGGGCGGCGGGGGAGGGGGCGGCGGCGGGGGCGGGGGCGGCGGCGGCGGGGGCGGCGGGGGCGGAGGCGGGGCCGTCGTGGTCTTCTTGGTGGTGGTGGTCTTCTTCGTGGTCGTGGTGTCGGGCGGCGGAGTGGTCGTGATGATCACGGGTGTGGTAGTAGTCGTGGTCGTCGTCGAGCCCGGCGACATCGCGAAGAGCAGGAGGGGCAGCAGGAGGAGCGACAGTCCCAGGGGCACGAGGCAGATCAGGCAGAAGTTCGGGCCGCGCCCAGGGATGCGGACCGCCCCGAACTCGCCCGCGCCCATGCCCACGTACTTGTACGTGGTCTCCTGGACGTAGTCGCCCCCTGGGCCCACGTAGCTCAGAATCGTGCCGCCGCCGCCGCCGCAGCCCGAGCCCTCGGCACAGGCCACGCCGCAGCCGGGGCCGCAGCCCATGCAGGCGGTGGTGCTTGCGCAGCACGCCGTGCCGCAGTCCGCACCCCCCGCGCCACGCGCGCCGCCCGCGCCGTACGCGCCGCCCGCGCCGTACAGGCCGCTGGCGCCATACCCGCGGCCCGCTCCGTACGCGCCGCCGAGGCCGCCCGCGCCTCCGCTGAGGCCTCCGCCGTAGCTCCCATAGCGGAGCGACATGGCGCCGCGGGCGCTGGGGAGCTGCTGGCCGACGCAGGGAGGTACGTCCTTGGAAGGAAGCCCTTGAGCCCAAATGGCTACAGACCAGAATGCCCACCAGCCCTCTGGGTGGAGGTTGTGTGTCAAATTTGTTTCCCTCTTCCGACACCCTCCTTCCCCTGTTCGGCCCTCCCCTGGGTCTGGACAGGGGGGGCCGCGAGCGGTCAGAACGTCCAAGATGGCCCAACAGAGCCTCAGAGAGCCCAAGATGGCTTCCAAGATGGTTCAAGATGTCCCGAAATGGCTCAAGATGGCTTCCAAAAGTCTTCAAGGGGCTCCAATACCGCTTCAAGACGGGCCAATGTGGCCACGGAGCCCCCCAAGAAGACACCCAGGATGCCACACCCACCAACCCTTTAGGGCGTGAGTGGTTTAAGGAGTTTCCTCTTCGGACCCCCTTCTTCCCCTTCGGGGATGGG